GACTATAAAGCTCTTTAGGACAGGCAGCTCAGATGGAAACATCTACACTGTAAATATCTGAATTTAGGAGAAATGATTCCTACTCTGCTCACATACCTCCAAGCCCTCCTTAGCAAGCTGCAGATGAACACTGCCTCCAAAGTGTCTACGAGGGAGAACCAGGTTCCCCATTATACTAGGTTGATCATGTGTGCACGTTAAATGCCATTTTTAACTATCAATCAGCAGCCTTTCTTACATGTTCTAGCATATTCTCAATTGTATTTATGTCTATGACATGCCTCTAGCAGACTGGCACCTCAGATGGAAGAGAAATCCCCTGTGCTTGGTGCTGTGCAGCAGCCTGGTCCCCGCGTCACATTGCTGCTAGTCTAGGAAAGGGAAAAACAGATGCAAAAGGCAGCAGATTGATGTGGGAGAACACAGATACAAACAGGCCACATTAGTCAGCACAGTGGGCAGTTGTCTTAGCACACCACTGACCTAGCTGTTGCCAAGCTTTTGGGAAGCATCATGGCAAAGGAGAGTTTTAAAGAAGGGAAGGGAAAGGATAGAAAGACTGCTCTGGAGGGAGCTGTGGAAGGCACTGTGGGGAAAAAGCACAGATGTGTTAATCCGACAATGTCACAAGTGGGTGATGGAGCCAGAACCAGGGGCTGAGAGGATGGAGGAATCATCTGTGCAGTAACTGAGGGACTGAGAAGACTGGTAAAGATCTTGAAAGTCAAGAAACCAGCCCCTAGTTGATGCAACAGAAAAGAAGGTATTGAGCCACAGATTCATTCCCGCTCTATTTTTGTGTAGTCCTCTTCAAACTTAGATAACACTTTTTTTTTTTTCATTATATATCCTAAACCCTAAAAAGGATTTAGCATTGCAGTAATAACGTAGAAGAGAACTACAGCCTTCTTATACATTTTACAAATGTATACAGCTCATTTGAATGACTACAGACTATTAATTCTACAAAGTTAAGCACTCAACTTAGAGAATGCCCTTATTAAAGCTATATATTTGACCTTGACTGACTGTGGTGCATATACACTGTTTTCAAATAATCATAGAATATGTATTTTTCTCCTAGATCATTAGAGATAGGAAACACATACCGCATTTGCAAGTTTCTGCTTTTTCTTTATACTTATGTAGTGTTTTTTCCCCATGGCTTAGTTCAGCATATATCTAGCTGTTTAAAAATATACATTTTTTTCATCTAAGAAAAACACATATTAAAAAATTGTGAAATACTCAGACACTATAATTAGCCTATTCAACAAAATTTACTTAGATGCAATGCAGAGGATAAAGTAGTTAACAGTGAAGCTAAATTAGCTGCATAAACATGTGCAATGCAGCCCTCCTTAGGTGCAATCTAGGACTGAAGCAATTAATCACAAAATCTACATAGTTATAACCTGAGGCTGGCCTAAATATTATTATAATGCATTTTTCCAATCTTATAGTTTGCTGGTTTCTTCACTAGCACTCTTTGTTAATATACTTACAGTGTAGCATATTGTACAAGCATAACACACACCACCTTCCGCTCTGTGTCTGTGGGCTGGTTTCATGATATACCAGATATTACTGGGTGAAATATGTTTTCTTTGGTCAAAGACAGCTTAAAAATTTTCTGCCTTCATGCCGCTACACTTTTCTTCTTTGTCCTTTTTCTAAAGTCTTTTTTTCCCCAGATACCATTTCAGGGATTCAGCCTACTATGTAGCACCCCCTTGCACCGGTGCAGGGGAGAAAGGCCAGCTGTCATAGAAAACACATTAAGGAATTTGTAATGCTACATGATTGTAAAGTACTATATAACATATTGCACCACTTCTGAAGCAGTAGAAGTCTTTAACATTGAAGACTGATTCCCACATTACATATCCACACAAGAGAAGAATTAAGGTCTTACAGGCAATTTTGAGAATCAAACATATACCTATATATACAGAAGATGGCTTTGAACTCACACCCTTGCACACAAGCGTGGTGATCAGTGATTCACTATTCCAGATGTCCCAAACTACTTCAGCCCCTGTGGTTTTCCTTGTACATAGAGCCTAGGGAAGGGACCACCACCTACTCAGAGCCTGATTTCTCTCCCACTGTGCTGCTGTTCCATTCTTACTGTGGAACGTTTAATTATGCAAACTAGAAAGTTAACTCGTGAAGTTACTTTCTAGTTGATCCTTCAATTCTTCCTGCTGTTGGAGTCCAGTTAGGTTTTAAAAACAAAATTTTAAAGTTCTGTCTTCCCGTAAGTCTGAAATATGCTGATAACAGTGTGTGTACAGTTCAGTCTGAAGTTCTCTGATGCAAAGTCCACTAAAAAACTCTTCCACGCCTCAGAAATTCCACCCGATACTGCACATTCATTAGACTGAATGATGCAGAAGAAGCAAAAATTCAAGGCCATCTCCTCTGCCATTTATGAGTTCAGCATGAAAATCCACAAGGATAAATGTTCCATTGCGATGCTGAAGGAGCCACATATAGTGAAATGTAAAACACACTGTGTTCACTGGTGGGTATTAATTTAAATTTTTCAGTTTTCATATCCCAGCTGTGTTGGCTATAATGCTGCTCAAATAAACCATAAAGGATATAGGGAGATTGAGCACCATTTCTTTTAGAGAAGCAGCACAGAAAAGTGACCAGGTATTAAAATTCTTGTGTATTTGTGACTGCAAATAGGATGTTAAACATGGAATCAAACAATCCTTCCTCCCTGACATTTTTAGCAAATTGCCTAATTGATATTATTATAGGATGAGTAATGTCCATTTCTTTTGCTTTTAAACTACATTTTTCTACTGCGTTCTTTTGTGTATTGCTCTTAAGCATCCTTAAGCACGTTGCAGTTCAGCACGCTGTTGTTTGGCACATTTGTTTCGGAAACAAATACACCCTTATGTGATTGCATTTATCTACAATGACGATCTGCAATTTATCTGCTTGAATTCGGTCCAATTTTCTAAAATCTTCAACATCGCAGATTTTACTTCGTCCTCTACTCTGTATAATCCCCGTTAGCGTAATAGCGGCAGGTTTGACAAGTGCAAGATTCAGCTCCTATCGCAGGTCATTTACAAAGACATCAGATATCACTGCCTCTAACTAGCTATGCTCTGAAACTGTTCCCAGGCTTGCTTTGCTAGGACCAGCTGATTTCTGCACCGAGCATAAAGGTCTTGCAGTGGCTAAAGGAAAATAAAAAGAGACACTGAAAGCAATCTTTCCTCTATCACTACCCAATTCAAACAAAAGACATTTTTGACCTGAGAAATTTTACTCACATTCCGGGATTAGCCTGCTGATAGTACAAAATATTTCTGTTTGGCAAAGAAACACAAATCTTCTCCTCTGTGTGCAGCTACTTAGAATACAGTATAATTTGAAAAATCACTTGAATATTATGAGAAATGGCCAAGCACTGTAAGAGAAATAATAAAGAGGGGAAATGAAAGCAAGAAACAAAGCTGTGAGACAACTGCATGGGTGCTTGTGAGATGAGTGTGTGCATGTGTGGTAGCGTGTGTTGGGCTGGAGTAGCTGGTAAGGAGACCTGCAGAGCAGGTGAGAGAGCCCAGGATCCAGGCAGGGATATGAGAGAAGCTGGGGCCTGTGCTGGTATTCGAGGGATCTGCAAATGGGGGTATGCTGGCGTGTAGTCAGCTGTGTGAGTGTTTTGTGTGTGTGTGCGTCCCTGAGATATGTCCCTAAGCAGTCCCTGAACCTGGCCGGATGAAAGCTGCAGTCACCTCCACTGGCGTGGGACAGAGAGACATCCAAGTCTCCAGGAGCACCAGCCTGGGATTCAGAGGACAAGGAGGAGGAATCCCCAGGTCCTGGGGTCCTCCCAGGGCAGCAGCCGTGTAACACCCCCCAGCACAGGCCCTCGAGTAGCAGGAAATGCAAGCGCTGCAGTTGTTTGTACAGTCCTAATTTGACCTGGTTTGTGCTTGTGTTTCAAAATACTGTCTTCAATTACATGATCTCATTAACTTTTTCATATTCAGTGTATGTGACAGATGATGCTTACCTAACTAGTTACTGCATATCCTTTTTGTGCAGTTCCTAGGCCTCATTTACTGCATGACATTCAAACCTCAACCCCAGGATGAAGTGATTTAATTCCCGGTGGGTTCTGTCAACACATTATCTAGGTACTTCACATTCAAGTGAAATCTTCATTCTCCAGATGTGGGACTGAAGCACACAGCACCTCAGTGAAAAGTCACAGCTACTGTTCAGTGCCTACGGATTAGCAAGTCAGGAGCATTAAACCAGGGAACACAGTATTACATTCCCCTCTGCAAAGTCTGGTTTAAATATCTTTCCTAGCAGATTCAGACCTAACTCAAGTTCTCCAGAGCTGCACACAGCTGCTTTGGCCATAAGACCATTTTTTCTGCACCTGCAATCCTCTGGCATGTTACTGAAGCCCATTGAACTTCTTCAGTTAAAGAGGTATGATTGCATTTTTATTACACATTCTTGAGCATCACTAAAAACACTGCCTTGCAATAGGATCTATCAAGCGACATAATAATAATAAAAAAAGAAAAAAACCCTACACAATGTTTATATAGTCCTGTCAGTAGTATACCTCCAAGCACATGTTGGAGGAGATAAATCTGTTGGCCCTCTCCTACTGATGAGGAAGCTAACACACTAAGGTATGAGAAATGGTTTGCTCTGTTTCACCTATCAAGTGAATGACTTAGCTGGGAGAAGAGCCCCTCACAAAGCACTTTTTTCTTCAGGTTTCCAAAACACTTCACAACCATGGATATTATTTACTGTATCTTCTACACATGGACAAATTCAGTTACAGAAAGACTATACAGCAATCATTGAGAGAGCCCGGTTCTGTAATTCTGCAGTCAGTGCAGCCCATTGGTTGGAACAGGCTGGGCCGTGGAATCGTTCTGACAATGCTATCCAAGTTTCTGCATAATTCCAAACTCCAAACATGATCCACATGTAGAAATGTCTCTATTTCCATAATTTAGCAGTTTATTCAGTAAAAATACATTCATCACATGTACTGTTGTTTATATTTAAATATAAAAATATATTTGTTTTCAAGTGAAAAGATATATTAGATAACCAAGAAAATTCCAAGAAATAAAACTTCCAGAAAGGAACAATCAATTCATAAACAAACAAAAAGTACTACACTTCTTAAACAAAATACTTGACACAGACTTTATCTTTCCAGATAAGTTCCTTATCCTAAAGTGAAATGTTCATACTAATCCAGCTGAAGGCTCAGGCCACACAACGTATGCATATTCTTGACCAACCAAACACAAAAATCACAAGTAGTTATACCCTGTTTGTTGTCTTCTGGAGTTTGTAACACAGAAAAATAATTCATTTACCTGAAGGTGTAGAATGTGTATTGACACTGCTCTTCCTGAACAATTGCTACTTGGTTAAGAGTCTGTGTATCAAATTTTAACCCTGTGCATATGGACGCAGGCAAGGCTTTATTTCCTGTTCTTCACGGGAAGGATATCTGTAATCCAGTAGTGAAACAGAGACGTGACCATTTTGGTATGATCTGAAAAAAAGAAAACACATTCCTTCTGAAATACTTCCATGACATTTCTGAATGTTAAAGAAAAAGACTTGTGCAAACATCTGTTTCCATTCAATATTAGCATTTCAATAAACCAATGCAGATATTGGAGCTTGAAGAATAATACATAAGAATTTCTAGATAAACAGGTGCCTTTTCTTCTAAGAGGCCACTTGTTTGTATGAGAAACAGTTCTGATTCTGCATTTTGGAATGTCCTATTTGCTATGATTAAATAAATCAAAACAAACATGATTGAAATGACATGATCATTTGGGTAAGGCTAAAAGAGTGCAATCTTCTCCACTTCTTTCTGTGTGGGGAGTAATTTCACATATTACTATTTAACTTACAGTAGCACCTAAAAGCCCCAGTTGAGAATGAGCCATCTTTCCCAGACAGCTACACTAAACCTGCCATGGCTTCTGTCTTAATTCAGAGATTATCTATGTGACTTCAGTTATTTTTAACGACAGGACTTTCTACACTACTTAGCACATAATACCACATTTAAGATGATTCTATAATGTTATGCTAATTTAGTTTTCACATTTCATTTCCTTTTCTTCGAATGTTCATTAAAAAAAAAAAAAAGTTTAAATGTAATCATTTTAGGGCCGCTGTATACCCAGCCTGTGCACTGGTGGCACACAGTAACTGTGTACTTCTGGTATACAAAATATACCTTCTCCTCACACCTCAATAGAGAGATATATAAAGGACAACCCTCCAAAAAAAAGGAGTTATAAGAAGCTTCTAGCTCTTCAGTGAGTGATAATTCTGTAGGCAACAAGGGAAGAGTATGTTTGAGACTTGATACTAACAAACAAAGAGAATATGTTAATAGATAATGGAATGAAGTTGATGAGTAGAAGCTGAATGAGTTCATAAATTAGGAGATAATGACTTTTTTTTTTTTAATTAGGCGATCACCTATGCTTCAATAATTGATGTGAAGTGGGAATTGAGCAGCCCTCATTTCAAAAGCTACAGTTTCCAACCAGCAAATGGAGCTGGAGCCTCCAGTCACAGCTCTCCTCCTCTGCCTGCTGCCCTGTGCAGGATCATGAATGGAAATAGGAATAGGACACTGTGTTCTTTTTTGAAGTCTGAGAACAACGACACTTTAAATAGCCATGTCCAAACAAAAACTCTTGACCAACGTCAACTTTGTGTGATCGCTGGAGTATGAGGTCAAAGGTAACTTGAGGGAGCACAAAGGACAAGGTAACTTGTACTGGATGGAGGATGACGACAAGACAGAACAATCAGTATCTCTCAATCATAGATATTTTCTGGTTCAAGTATGTTTTCTAATTTAAATGAAGAGTTAAAGATAATACCTTAATGTTGATATTTTTTCTGTTTCAATCTCCTTAGCAATCTCCTCTTCCTGAAAAATTTTTCAGACCCTACCACCAACCTTGTTAGACCTTTCTTTGATATGACTACAAAGACTGGGACCTAAGAGCTTAAGGTAAAACAGAAGCATTTTTCTTCATTGTTTCTTTTTTCTTTTGGTTGAAAGAATGATTCCCAGTCTGAATAATGTGCTAAGAGGGGTGAAGGAAGTACCAAAACATGGTCTTGAACCAGTGGTTTTCAATCTGTGGTCTGCAGAACTTGGGCAGTCCACTGCTTTACTCTAAAAGGTCTGTAAAAATTTACTAAGAAAAGCAAATTTATCATCAGTAGACATAAACTTGCCAAGTGGGACTTGGCAGCCCTAGTGGAAAATTAGATTAAACTATAACATATATATATATATATATCTGTATATATGAGGAAATAAAAGATATATAATGGGACGTTTACTATGCAAAGTTTACTAATGGAGAATGTGCACTTATATGAAAGAGATGGATTGCTTCTCATTTTTTTAGTACTCTTTCCTTCCTCGAGTTAAGGACAAAAACGAACAAAACATAGCACCCATTATTATTCCTTTGATGGTGGAATCTTAGTAGAATCACAACCACAGGAAAAAGGTTTAACATATGGCTTCTTGAACTATAGGGAATAAAATAGGCTCATTTTGTAAAAATAATACACCTTGCTAAAATTAAGAAAATTTTTTCCTTTTCCTCATGTTAATAAGGAATGACCTTTTCTTCTAGTACATCATGTCCCAGTAAAAATAAACAAAATAGAAAAAAGACGAGATAATCAGACATACTTGTAAAAAAATTGAGATTATGATGTACTGCACATTTTATCTTCATAAACAGCACCACAGCACCGACCTGTATTTCTATAACAAGAACTTAAATTTGCTGAGACAACAAGTTTTGGTAACAACTTTTATCACCTGTTCATTGGGTATGAAATCTAGAATTCAAAAAAACTGAGCAAGGTAACCTATTTTTGAGGCAAAAGTAGGAAAAAAGTATCATTAAAAGCCTAATTCAAGGTAAAAATTCAGAGTACTCTCTTTTCATTCACTGAATTTCCTGAATTAGAAATAGAATGTATTGTTAAACTCTGCTCAGACAAATTAATATCTAGCAGGTGCTTAATTATCCTTTAATAATTTATAACAATGTATTTTGTTATGCTGTTGTGCCTCATGAATATCAAATCAACTACTACGGTTACACACCGCGAACTTGGAATGAGATTAAAATTGAGCCCTGAGTGACAACAGTTACAAGGGAAAAAAATCAACTGAAAGAGTAAACACTTTCAGGCTGTATCAGCAGAAACATAAATTAACTTTAAAAATCACTCAGAAAATTGTCTTCTGTTTCTTCAAATGACAAAACATGCATCAGAAAATTAGGGTAGTTACACGGATTTGTTTCTAATTTGTTTCTGTTTTCTTTTCTCTCTTCAGTTTGACATTTCTGCTATATAAAAGTAAACAGAGCAGCTTGCCTCAAGGCTGCAAAACCCAACAGAATTCCTACTGTATTGAGTGGGATTTGAATAATGCCTGTAAGGAATGTCCTGAATGTGGTCACTCCAGCAGTTCTATTTTGATTTAATCAACAGAAGCTGAATTGGGTCATTTAATAAAGGGCCAATACCATTACGACTATTCCTGCCGAGTCCTACTTAGTTTGCAAATGTGTATTACATCCAATGAGACTCTCTGATTATAATTAAGATCATAGAATCTAGGCTTGAAATTAATTATTGAATGCACAGAAGGATGTTCCATATATATATCTGGATACTTCAGATCTATCAGAACCTTAAGGGTTGTCATACTCCGTATCTACACTTCAAAGAACGCATATGTGCTTCTTTAAGAGTGTCCTTTTCAAAACCTGTCAGGCATGGATTCTACAGGCAGGAATTCTCTCTTCTCTGTGTTTTTACGATGCACAGCACGCAGCAGGCTCCAGTCTTGACTGGGATCTTTAGCCACTATCATGCTGTAAATTATTTAATGATGTTACAAGCCGTAGTCTCTTCTGTGAACGTTACTGCTAAGCCTCTGACGGCTATGATCTTATTTACTCTGTTACCACACCACTACCAGCTCAGATGTTACCCTTCAAAAGACTCAGAGCACTATCTAAAATGGTTGAGATTATCTCGTGCCACAGCAAGTGCTCTCAACTCTGATGAAATTCTTTGGGAGGCAAGAAAATTCAGCACATTTTGTAGATTTGGCTGATGCTGCAACAAAAGTACTAATGACAAGTAACAATGACTGTTTAAATGGAGACTACTTGGACAATGAGACAATGAATTATTGTATCATCTATGGACAACATGCTGATCCCACATTCACTTGAGGAACCATTAACTGTCTTCTAAAATTATAGGGGTTATAATAGAGAACAAAAGGAACATGAATGAAATCAGTCTTGTGCCTCAGGGATGAAAAGATTTAGTAACAGAATAATTTTTCTTTTTATGAATGACTTTATAATATCATTTCTTATAAAGAATGACTTTTTTTTACATAATAAGCAGGACTTTTTAGAAACTTAAACCAGACATTTAAACTTAAATAAAAACAAAGCTGTTAATCAAACTTCAGCATGTAAAATCTATGTGTTAAAAAAGCCACGTAGGTGACCACGAAGAAATGAAATAATGGGCTTCATTAATTCTTATGCATGCAAAATTAATCCTTAACTGGATGAGTGAAATCTCCAAGTTAAACAAGTTAATTCCTGTGATTTAAAAAGTCTACAAAGACAATGTATTAAAACTATGCTTTAAACATGATTAAATCTTAAAACAGTTAAGATTTAAAAAATATTATTTTCAGAACCTGAATCACCTTGTACTCTGTAGTTGCTACAAAGTATGAAAAGTTTCTGAAGTATTGTAACCAAACAAGAAACAAAAAAAAAATCACTGCATTTTTGATGGGAATAATGCTTTCAAATTTTGTATAAGCACATGTTTACCACTATATAATTATTTACAGCTTCCTAATAAAAAAAAAAAAAAAAACAACTGTGGCAAATCTGAATTTTAATCCATACAAAAAAACGCATCAGTGAATGCCCATGAGTGAATGGTACCTACCAGGAGGCATCATGGATTGTTCTTGGAATTGTTTCAATCCATCCTTCAATCTCTCAGTATCCCGCAGCAATACGAGGGATTTCAGGTGATGTAGAAGAGTCACGTCTGAGGATGAGATGGTGCGAGATTCCAGATACTGCAAAAGCTCTTGGGCAGTCGCTGCATTTACAGCAGAATCTGTGCATTCTGATTTATCTGGAAAAATAATTGGAACACCGCATTAAAAATACTCAGTCAGTACAGAGAATTTTCCTAATTATATTTTTTTTTCCAAAGACAGCATCTTCCTTTCTAGTACAACTTACAACCAAATATCAAGTAATAAAGAGCAGCTTGCTCCTCCTGTTTTTTGTTTAATATTAAGACAATGGTAAGAGGGGAAGTATCAAATGAAAAAAAAAAAAAAAGTGGATTCATAGTGACAGGAATGCAAGATTTTCAAGATTAGCACAGGAAGAAGGTGTGATGAAGAAACTGTACTGTGGCCAAAGCACTGTGGTTTCGCTTCCTACACACTCTGTATGATAAAAATGTACATACGTGTGGAGACAGGGAACAACTCTGTGGAACTACCTCAAAGTGCTTCTGGAGGCATCCATCTACCTTGTTATTGTACTTCTACGATTTTATTTAAAAGGCAGATAATACAGCATGCACGGCTTCTACACTACTAAAGCATAAATTCATTCTTCCATTCCAGTAACAATATATACAATGGAAGAATGAACACATGTCCCTTTAACCAGACTCCCTTTAATTTTTCTGTTTTTTACCAGCAAGCCAACTGAGAAGAACAGATTTTTCCCAATTCAGCTTTCTGACAAAAGTACAAGAAGCATAACCCAATGTGACCATTTGAAAATGCTGCTAAAAGCAATGCCTTCCAATTTTATCTAAGGAAAAAAAAAAGGAGTGTTAAAGTCACTTGACTAGAAAAGGCAAACAGCATAACGTCAGATCTATATATAAACTGGGATTTGCCTAACAAGAAAGTTAGTCACACTCTGATTTACGGATGTGACATCTTATCTGCAGAAGAACTTTCTTTTACCTGGGAATTTCTCTCTGTGGATTCCACGGTCCTCGCTGGCTCAACCCTCTGATCTGTGGGTTTGACACCAGAGCCAATCTGTCAACCACTGCTAAAACCTGAACTTGACTTCCACGAAAGCTGGAAGCTCAACACTTTTTCTTAAGATTGAACATGCAACACAGCTGTGGACAATTGGCCAGGTTTCTGTTCTGGGTCATGTATTAACAGCTGAACTGCTAACAGAGTTTGCAATCTTGCTCAGTTACTCTGGAGTTCCACTACAGGAACATGTAGTTCAGCTTACGTTTACTTAGCCATACACTCAAGTAGTAAAATTCTTATTTTTGGTGATGGAAGTGCTTTACCCAGAAAGGAGGATAGACTTTGAATGCTAGGTTTAGTACAAAGACCTGACACAGCAGAAAAAATTTAACAGTAAGCAAAGAAAAATCTATGTATAAATCTTGAGAACAAAAATTAACATGAAATCCCTGATGTCATCTTAACAGGGTATAAAAAGTTATTCTGTAGTCTAAAGATGAATTTTATGGGACTAGGAGCTGACAGCTCTGACTTCAGACAGACTCATACAGGTACTTTGAAAAGTTTTTCACTGCTTTTTTCCAGTTTTACGTGACAGTTATAAACTGAAAGCTATCTTCTGAGCTGAGCAACTAAAGAACACACCAGCTTGCCCTTAAGAAAACATACTTAATTCTAGATGATACCAACATAATCTGGTGTATGTACAGGTAAGTATGTACAGTACTTACCATTAAAACTTCAGTATTTCTGAAAGGCATCTGTGACATAAACACCGTACAAGCAGCTTTTTAGGAAGGCAATTGAAGAATCATACAGTAGGGATTTCTCTGATTTTAGTGGCCAGATGACCATTCAATAGGCCATTAGGAATAACATTCATGCAATCCTTTTTAAAGTGCTATGGAATGTGCATTGAGCATCAGTTCACATTCAGCCTGTTCACAAGTGCTTTCTGCCAATACAGTGTCCCAGAGCCAACAGTATCTTTCCCTTTCCTCTTGGATGCTGTCTCTCTAGATTTCCTTATATATTACAAATAAATCTCCTCCTGGGAAAGAAAACTTTCTGAAAAGTAGGTTGGTTCAGAGATAGTAAGCATGAAAGTCGTTTAGGATAGTGGTTATTGCCCTCATTTGAAGCTCTCTGAAAGCAAGTAAACCTTCTGAACATTTGCTTGCAGATCAACAAGAAGAATTTGGTCCATTTTAACCACAACATTTACATCAAGTTCACTGGAATGATTTAGAAAAGATCAAGGAATATTATGGATATTTTCAAAGACAGAGAAACAAAGATATTAGGACAACATTTTTTTATATTCATGTTGATTTTACATATTCATGTACACACCAGAAAACTGGACAAATACTAAGTACCCTCACACCTTACTGAGTTCAAAAGAGACACTTCTCTAATAGTTTTGGCCCATTCTACAGCAATAGTAAGTACACATCTATTTTCCCCTACTCACAAAAAGAAAGGAGAAAGAATGGTACATACTGTCAGCAAAATAAATTTGTTGTGTTGCCTGCAGGAAGTCCAGAATGCTATCTGCCTTTTCATCTATATCTTTTAAGCCTGCTGCTTCTTCTCTTTTGTTTTTGTCGGGCTGATATGTAAAATCCACACCGGTAGTTTTTGTTACCAAGCCAGCTGCTCTCATTTTTTCTTTCTGTCGCTTCTTTTTCATTTTCCTCTTTTTGTTTTTGCTTATTTTGGGACTGTCTATCTGCTGCAGCTGTAAATTATCTTGAACGAGAGTCTCTCGCATTCCAGATTCTGTTTGTTCTCCATGTAAATTATTAGAGTTTTGCAAACTGCTCTTTTGTTTCTTCCTTCGAATGCGCTTTCTCTTGGTTTGTCCTTGATATTCCTCCTCTGCAGATTCAAAAAAGACATAATAGTTGTAAATACAAAGATCACTAATAAGCATTTTGGAACTGTATACAAAGAAATATCACTCCCTTCATATTCTGGGATGTCTGAGTTACTTTTACCTAACCTTACTTTTACACTCAGAATGCCTTTCAATACTACAATGTCAAAGCCAACCTCTCTGAATGCATTGAGTTAGAAGATAAGTTCTTTTCCCTTCTGCTTTTAATAAAGACTGTACTCTCCTTCATGCTACATACTTTACATTACATTTACTTTCTTAAGGCAGATAATATGGTTCCATACAGAGCATGAGGTCAAAAGAATCGCCAGGGCAAAAACCAGTATGGGCAGGCTGGGTGACATGGGATGAGAGAACTCCCCCAAGAGCCCTACACCACCAGTTGGTAGGCTTGACCAACACCACAAGAATAGTGCATGTAAATCACAATAAAAGATGATAGTGCCATCCACAGTAGTGCTTTGCCTTAAAAACACTAGGCATCTGTTTCTGATTCTTCTACTTTCTCCTCCTTGAACATTCTCCTCCTTTGGGATATCTTACTGCTAGATCAGCTTTGGACACCAGCTTTATAGGGAAAGTGTGCAAGGCATCAGTGACCTTGGCAAGTAATCTCTGATCTTTTTAACAGCCTGTCTTGGTTCTGTCATTCCCTTGCTACATTATAATTTCCTTGCTAGTTAATTCTTCAAAAGGCTCAAATGTCAAGGGAAAGAAGTCCCTCTTGCTCTTCAAGACAGCTTTCATGCTTCTTTAGTCAGATCTTATCCCTGTACACAAAGTCAGAGTTCTGGAGTCATCTCTGACCCTGGACTGACTACCTCTCCCCCAGGCTCACTTCTGAGGGTAAGCCCTCCTGCCACGAGCAAGGGAAGATTGCCAGAATCCATCTTCCCTTTGACTGCACTGCTGCTGAAGTCCATATTCATGCCTATAACAATTCCCACCTAATTAACTGAAATTTCCCCTTTCATGGTCTAACAAAATCCTCACACGTTAAACACCATGGAGCGCAGAATGCCAGTGTTCTTGTAATGTCTTGCTTTAGAAAGTTAAGCCGTTTATCCTTCCCTCAACCTCTACCGGCATGTCTCTAAATCCCTCACAGTGCACAGAGTGCAGTGCCCTTATTTACCTGCTTTTACACCGTTCCAAGAATCTTTGCTGGTGTAACACAGGAAAGACACCTGAAGCCCAATGCTTGTTTCCAAATTATCTGCACAGTCTCCTGAACTGCCTCTGACATTCTCAGCTTGTTGGGCTTTCTCATCACTCCTCCCCCTACCAGTCTGCCTCTATTTTCTCCATGGTTGGAGGCCCTCTCTTTCATTTCTGTTTCTTTTTCTGTCTTGAACTCTGTCAGCTCTGAGCCACTTTCTGTCTTTAAATATCACTACAAGACTTTCAGTTCTTTAGCTGACAGATGACTCACTGCAGACCAATTTTCCATACTTTCTATGAAGAAGGCTGCATAAAAATAAATTTGCTGTATTGTAATTGAACACCACAGCATGTTAAAGACACATCAAACGTCACCTTGTACCCACAGCGTGGAATGCTTCACACTCATGGTATTTGAGCTAAATATCTTTATACATGATTTGGACATATGGGATGTGGGAAAAATAACGTCTGTGTCGTCCTGTAGAAATAAAATACCAGAACTGAAGGCAGATATGAATGGTGAAAGATGCTATAAACAAAACATCAATGTTTCATCTTAAGATCTAATTTGGATTTTCATGGGAGTATTTGTGTTACAATAGGTGAATTTCACTGTAAACACAGATATATTGTTCATAAAATTTTTCAGCCCTCTGTTAACCTGAACCACGCTGTTTGCTAATAAAGCTCCTCTAATCTGTGCTCTCAGCAAAGTGGTCCAATGTGCTCTTTAAGCATCTAAGAATCAGTAAATCTCAGCAAAACTACAGTTTGTTATGCAGCCGAGCACCCTCAACTGGTTTGACACCACTTGAAAAAAATGGTGCAGAAGGCAGAACAGGGCTTCAGATAATTGATGTTTTGAGTCAAATCCAAAAGTTCACTTATCTTTGGTTGCTCAGGACAGCAGAAGGTCTGAAGAGATGAGGCTGAAGCTGTCAAAAGGCACAACAAATGCAGTTTTCCCATTTGTATGCTATTAAGATAAATACCCAATTGAAAGGAAATCAGAACTGTTCTGAGTGTCCTCCAATACAGAAATCAAATACAAGCCTTCACCTAACTCTCTTAAACTGGTAGTCCTCTAGCAGTTTTTGTCATTCTTTGCCCCACATTTTAATATCTCTTTAGTATCTACTGCTCCATATGTGGTAGCTACTAATGATTCAACACCAGGAACAGATGAAATTAGATGTTGAAAAATGCAAAGCAACGCACACAAAAGGGATTAATTTGTACAACTCGCTGCTAGGGTTAGAGAGAACTGCGACCAGCTCAGGAAAAACAAAGCAAAAGCTAGACCTGGGCATCAGCATGGAAGGCTCAACGAAAACATCGGCTCAGTGGGTATCAGTGATCAAAACAGCAAACACCTTGTTTGCATACATAAGAAAGAGGATGGAAAATAACAGGAAAAATATTCTAAAGCTATTATACAAAGCTGTTGTACTCTTCAAGATGGAATGCTATGTTTCTTAGCATAATCCCAGCACAGTAAGACTTTGGCAAACAAGAAGAGGACTCTCACAGAAGTTACCAGAGAAACTCCAAAAAGATTTGTATGACTTGAAAGAAAGAGCAATAAAATGGCCTCTGTTTCTGCCTCCTCATGCAAGAACAAGGTGACATCTAATTAATCTCAGCAGTTTCACAAGGAAATAAAAGAAAGTAAATACTTGTTTTACAAATGGTACAGTTAGCTTATTGAATTCCCATGTGTGTGGTATGCATGGGAGCCAAGAGCTTAATGGGATTCAAGAACTGGTTGTTTATATACCCAGCAAGGCTACCTGATAACAACAGCTATGCCAAAATATAAATAAGAGTTGTACAAGAAATATAAACCATAATGTTTAGGTCACAGCGCACGCAATGATCTTAACAAATAAAATGTTCAGGGGGATTCACCTCCCACAGCTTCAGCTGTCTGAAAAGAAAACACCCCGTGCATACTTAGACCTATGCTTCCTCTGATAAACCAAAAGATGCTAGCATCTTCAGAAAGCAATTTATCTCATCCTAAGACAGCCTGGATGGAAGCACACCCTGAAGGTCTTCATCTCTCTCTCTCTCCCCTTCCATTAATTACAAAGGAAACACAGACAATGAACTTGCGCTAGATGCTTGCAACAACTGAGAAGAATTAGTCTCTTTTACAAAAAGTAATGGTATGGAGGAAGGTGTTTCTTAACATGGGTCTGCTCATCAGATTGATTTTTACTTATTAACAAAATCAACCTTCAAAAAAACCCACTTTTAGCTGCCTACATTTCAAACCAGTAGGGAGGCTGATAAAATTTCAATAGATATGAATTTGGTTCCAATAATTTTTCCCACTGACTAGAGAAGTTTGTTATGTCAAAACAGCATGGTTGTAACAAATGCAAGGAACATATAGTATACAAGCAATCTTACTAAGGTGCTGAATTCATACTTGAGCAACGTTGACAGGAATATCAACTGCAGCTACAGCTTGTCCTAATTCCAGGAGAGCTGGCAGTTCTTCTCCCTCTGTTCCATAACGGCTTGTCACCTCTCTCCCTCCTAAAACCCACCTCTGCTCCACAAGTGGTTTAATGTATCACATAATCCAATTATCGAGAAGCAATTGTCTTTAGCCTGTTTAGTCTGGACTCAGTGCCCTCTCAGACTGAGCCAAAGTGGCTTCCAGACAAAATGCTCATATACATTTTACAGCCACGGTCATAATTTTATAAGCATTTCTTTCAGCCTTAGTGAGAACACCCTTCTCAGGAACTGTTCAGAATTAAAGATAACTGTTTTTGGGGGGTTTTTTAGGGGTCTTTTTGGGGGTTTTTTTGGGTGTGGTTTTTTTTTTTCTGGATTATTTTTAGTCTAGATTACTTTCCTGATGCACTTTACCATGCAGCTGCACAGTCCCACTTGCCTGACCCACAGTATGATATGGAAGTGGGAACGAGTAGCCTGAAAAGGAAAGTCAGCATCAAAAAAAAGACATCTTCTAACAGCCCATCTCATCTGGTCCGAAACATTAAAAAGTTTTCTCTGTGCAAACTGCTTGTCTCCTTAACAGAACAGAGACAGAAATACACCAAAAAACAGACTTAAAATGAAACAGAGGACTCAGTTTATAGATACTGCTTATTGAATTTTGATAATGAAAAGTCTGTACCTCCAGTTTATATCTTCAAGGAAAAATAGAAAAATAATAAAAATAATGATTTTCATCAAGACTACAAATAAAATGATTTTATTTATTAACTTCTATTATATTAGCAAGTTATTTTGTATCCATCACCAGGGCAGCTGGAGACATAAAGAGATTAAACACAAAGCTTAACACAGCCTAACAGCAACAGCCGACTCCTCCTCCCATCCAGCCCAACCATCAGCATGAACACGTTGCTGGCAGCTCCGTGACTGAAAAGATGAGCTTCCTCAAGTTTATCTGTATTATTTCAGTTCCTTCAGACAATGGCAGATGGAAACATTCAGGGAAAGCATCACATAAGACAATGAAAAATGGGAGACTATTTACTTAGGTGTCTGCAAGTGTAAGGTATACAAAGTCCCACCAGTATGACAAACTGAAGTTTGGCTTTGAGTATCTGACAATAAGCTGATGCTGCTGGGGATTTTTAAAAATCCATTCCCTAAATATTATTAGAACAAACTTTCAGAACAGCGCATTAAAGGAAAAAAATTGAAATAAAGCAGACCGAGGAAAAGACAGTCAAAGAATATCCTGTGAGCTTTAGAAATCTCCTCCATAATGTGCTCATCATGACTCAAGTACAGCAGCTGGTTGCTTTGCTCTACTCTCCCACAGTAGGCT